AATTAAATCGGGACACCAACACTTTGGGTTCCGTTCTTGGTTTCAGCCCCTGAGTGATTTCCTAGGGCTTTATGACATCTGCTGGCCATGTTACCCGGAGCCGTGCAGGCCTCCACCTCGGCCCAGATGGGTCCGCCAAAATGGCAGCAGCCTGCCCACACCCTTCTTTCTGACTTGCCTCAGTAAGTCTGAAAGCAGCCCACAGTGGCCTTGAGCTGGCGGCCTGTGACATAAGTGGGAAAACTAATACGCACTTCTGGCCACGCCCAGACGGCGAAGAGGGGCGTGACGCCTGGCAGACGGGGGCCTATCTCTCAGGGTCTCCCTTTAGGCACCTCCCCACCTCTATGATCATCCCTTCATCTGCATCTCCCGTGGCTCCTCAAATCATGCCCTTGAGGCCTTGGTCCATTGCTATCACCTTCTGGAAGTCCCCTGTGTCCCAGGGGCCCCACAGCCCATGTGCTGGTAGGCACCAGAATGTTACAGAATGTTTACAATGTGAAAATATTGAACCCCCTCCCCACAGTAGTTGTCAGTGCCATCCTGAGAGCTTTGTGAGGGACAGCAGGGTGCCCTGTGCTTAGGGTAATGATCCTACTACTCTCCTTCTACTTCTCCCTATATGAAGAAACGCAACAGAAATTCGACCTGTTCTCAGGCTGAGCTATCATATATTATGTTTATGTGAGGTCTGAGAGCAGATGTCCTGCCATGGTGTGGTGGCAGGGTCTACACTGGCCTCGGTGGTCCTCGCCTCCTGGTATCGAAGCTCTCCTGTAACCCACCCTACTTCCTGGAGGGTGGGCTGGACTCATCTGCTCACCTCGGACAGATACGACATGACCAAGTGATGATGCCACTTCGGGGTTTCGGTCACAAAAAGGCCGTGGGTGCTGTGTCGGGGGCCTTTTCCTGCTCTCTCCGGGACAGCTCCCCCTGGGGTAAGCCAGTGGCCACGTCCAGGGGAAAGCTGAGAAGAAGCTCAGGGGAGGGGTCAGGCCTGGCAACAAACACAGGGACGAGGGTGGAGGCAGGTCACCGCACGGCGAGCCTTCCGATGAGACCACCACCCTGGCCGGCAGCTTGAGTACAACCTCCCGAGAGACCCTTGCCGGGACCCCCAGCTGAGCTGTGCCTGGATCCCAGACCACATGGGCCGAGCCAATACGTGTTCACTGTTTTAAGCTGCTGTGTTTGGTGACTTGTCTCACTGCCACAGATAGAACAGATCTGGGCTCGTTAACAATCTAAAGAACAATATCCCAGTTGGCCTCCACGTTAACCTACAGGCCGCACCTACCCAGCAGGTAAATATTGACCATAGCCACTTCTGTGTATGGAACGCTCACCAGGCACCTGGTGTCGCTCAAAGACCCAACAAATATGACCTGGGGTGACCTGCCAGGGCCACTATGAAGTGACACGTATGTATTTTGCTGGGACAGAAAGAGAAGCTTCCGGAAGCTTCGGAAACCCGGCCCCTCTGCATTGTATTTTTGCTGGACGCTTTAGTGATTCATGCTCTTAACTGTCCATGGGCCACGCCGTCCCCAGGCAGGAGGGAAGCGCGTGTATTCTTCAAAGTCATAACCGGAGCCTTTGCTGTAACCCTGGCCCGTGCCACGAAGTGCCAGCTCTGAGGGGAGAATAGGCCACTGGGATGACTGTGTGGGTCCTCAGATGCTTATAAAAGGCGACAAGTCTTTTTCCTTTTTAAGAAAATCCCACCCCTTTCCCCCCAAAACCAATTTCATATTTAGTGACCCCATTCTCAAGAATTTCGGCAAATTTCATGGCTTCACTATGAACGCACATCCTCGTGGGCAGTTGCACAGGCAGGTGAAAACTGCCCCCTCAGGAACTCCGTCTTGTCCCTTCTTCTCTAAGAAGCTCTGGAGCTCCTTAGACTCCAGAAGGATCTCGCTGTCACGTGTTGTTTATTTAGTCATTTATTTTGGGGGGGCAGGTGATTTAAGGCCAAAGGGCACTGCTGAACAATTAACGTAACAAGACGCTGCTCTGTGGCCGCTGAAGGGTGGCAGGAATAAACGTGCCACTTTGGAAAGAGGCCAAGCGGCTCATCTGGCATCACGGCCGCTGCCTGGACCTCGGCTGCTCGAGCAGCACGTGTGGATGTGAACTGTCCCCTGCAGCACAGACAGGGCAGTCCCCGGGGAGAAGAGTCTGGCGGCTTCCCCCTGACTTGGCCCAACCCCCGACCCCGACGAGGGTCGCTGACTCCTCCATCACGCTCTCCTGGCACCAGGTACCTGGCCGGCACGAGGCGACCTTGGAAAGTGCAGCCACACCACAGGCCGGTGCTCAGTGCTGGAGGACAGGGGAAGGCGGCCACCTCCCGTCCCCGGCTGTACTCTCCCTCCCGTCCCAGCGAGGACTCCGGGGCTCCCGGAAGCTGAGGCCCCACTGAGTAGGGCTCCCCAATTCCAGTGAGAATGGGACATTCTTCACCCCAGGCTGAGGCTTCAACCTGCTTCACAGCCAGGCAGCCTCCGAAACCTGCGAGCTCCTAGAACAGTCTCTGATGCCGGGGCTCACACCCCCTCACAGGCAACCCTGACTGCTCAGTTTTCAACAGTAAGGAAGGAAACCCGATGGACAGAGTATCCGTTTACAGAATCACAGCTGGAGGCGAGAAGTCCCTGTGCTGTTGGCCAGATGGGGGTGTCCTGTTAATAACCTTCCGGCCATCAGCACTCTTACCACTGTGCTCCAGCCTGGTCCCTGCCCTCAGGTGGCCCTGGTCATTTTCTGATGCAAAGGCTCCAGCGTCCCCAGGGCCCCTGCGTCTCTTCCCCTACCACCATTGGGGGAGAAGAGCAGAGCTCTGAAATCAGATGTACTAGTTACGCTCCTGGGACAAATGATTTAGCCAAACTGAGGCTTTGGGAGTTTATGGAGTGTAAATAATGACAATGTCCTAAGAATTAGAAATAGCAAAATCCAGTGAATAAGTACCCAGAAAGAGCTGGTGGTCATCGAGCTACAAGGGTACGACGTGAACTGGATGGTGCCACCCAGATCATATGCATGTTCACATCCTGAGCAGGAATACCCCCAAAGCCTCGGGAAGTCTGGAAAACACCAACTGTCCCTCGACCACACCCGGAGTCCCGGGCCTGGGGGGACGCTGGCACGCCAGGAAGTCTAGCTCGGAGGCAGTAGAAAGAACGTTCTAGTAGTCAGGACACAGAGAGACTAGGCACCCTTTCTCCCAAGGCAGAAGAAGGACCCTGTCATGACCATTCATCTCCGTGATGGGGTTCGGATTGTGACACGTTAGGGGGTGGTCTCCTCTCGCAGAGAATCAAAGCACAGAACTGTAGCTGAGACCAGGAGCCCGAAACAGAGAAAGGCAGATGCTAAAGTGTTTGGTCTTGTTCCTGAAAACATATTTAACACCCGTGTGCGCATAGATACCAAGTCAGAACTGGAAGAATAAATAGGAAAACAAAGGAGAAAACCGTTGGCCGGAAGGCCTGTCCCTTTCCTAGAAATCCCTTCCATGACTCGCTCATAGGCAACCCAGCTTCCTCGAAGTCTTAAGGTGGCAATGGTGAAGGAACACACTGTTTCTATCTCTTGAAAAACTGCTAAAGACCTTGCCTGCCTTTTGATGGTTTCAGTGCCTACGAAGGAGTCTCATTTGTCCCAAAGACATGAATGGGACTTGATTCTAAACACATTTCCTTCTCTCTCCTTCTGCCCCCAATTTAAAAGTGCATCAACGTTTTAAACGCAGATACAAAATGTAATCCGTGCAGTGCAGTCCTCCTTCACGAAGGGTCTTCCCAAATAGTCAGTCACAGGGCCCCCCCAAGTGCTGCTGGCGTCTCTGAGACTCCGCAGGCACATCGGGGACTAGACCCAGGCGGCCTCCCCACCGAGTCAGACGCGTGGACCCATCAGCCCCGCCAGCCTCCCAGGCTTCAATCTCCGCCCCTCTGAACACTATCATTTTCTCTCCCTCGTCCAAAAACAATGTGAGCAGACACCCCGTCTGTCTGCAGGCGTTGTTCCCCGCAGACAGTGCTAAACAGGAGCCCCGAGTTCTCGCTCAAGCCGTCCCGGCCCTTCCTCGCCCCAGGCCGCCACCCATCATCCCGGTCGGGACGGCTCAGCCTAAGCACCTAGACAGCTCAAATTCACTGATCGGATCTGGGCGTGACTACACAACGCGATGTTTTCAAGATGATGAAAGTCAACCCAGAAAACCCAGTCCCAAAGGCGTGCAAGAAGTCAAACTACTTGGGGGCGGGAAACAGAAGTTCGTATTTATTCTCAACTCTGACATTGAAACTCTCTGGCTTGGGGACCCAGCGTGCTGAAGCCCACAGAGGGGAAGGTGCACCCTGGAATGACTCCTGGCCGGTAGCCCGGAAAGCAGCGGAGCGCAGAGACGAAGGGCGCGATGGGGCCTCAAACCAGAGGAGCCCGAGTCCAAATCCACTTGATAGCTCTGTGAGCTTGAGCAGATCATTTAAACCCTCTGTCACTTAGGTTGTTAAAAAGGGGAGGGCATATATCATCTATTCATAAATGTTTCTATAAGGAGCAAATAAACTCACGGTATATGAAATACCTAGCACACAGTCGTCGCTGAATAAATATCACTGTCGGTCATTAGAAGATGTTCATCTTGGGGCACCCGAGTGGCTCAGTCGGTTAAGCATCCGACTCTTGGTTTCAGCCCAATTGTGATCTCACGGTTCGTGGGGTCCAGCCCTGTGCTGACCGTGCAGAGCCTGCTTGGGGGTCTCTCTCTCTCTCTCTCTCTTAATAAAAAAATAACTTAAAAAAAAAAAAGAAGAAGAATTTCATCTTGACTCCAAGCAGGAATGAAAAGCAATTGGTTAAGAACATTTCATCAGGTAGAAACTGTTAATGCTTCTGCAATCCTGAGTGGTTGAGAGAAAAAGGCAAGTCATGGTGTTGAACAAGGGAAGTGTGTGAGGCGGAAAAATGTGAATCCAACTTACCCCTAACACCCCAAAGCGTTCGGCCAGGCTCCAACCACAGAGAAAGTCAATCTCAAACTTGTGGTTCAGAACCACGATGGCATTTTCCTTTCCGTACTTGGGGTAGGCCTGGGGGTCTGTATGGATGATGCATTCCGTGCCCGACCACCACTCCAGCAACATCACCAGCTCTGGAACAAACCACAACAACAGACAGACGTTTATTTCATGCGTCCTTGGTGACCAAGGCTTGGTTCTACCGGGCCGGGCAGGAGCAAGGCTCTACCCTCCCGGCTGGGGCAGAAAGCAACTTCTAGAGGTCACGTTCTAGATCATTTCAGCCCAGACCCCTGTCCTTGAAATGGCTTAGAAGCAGAAGGAAAACAAGGAAGACTTCACAACAGTGTCCGGGGAAGGAGAGGAAGCGTTGAGAAGCCAAATGAGTTGCTTGCATTCCTTGATTAAGTACCTTGGGGAGAAGTAAATCAGAAAGCCAGAATCCATCAAGAATGCCTGCCCTCGTGTTTCCAGCGCTCTGAAAGGCAGCGTGAGATGATGCACAGAATTCTTAAAAGCCTGCAAAATGACTACTTGGGATTCTTTTTTTTTTTTAATTTTTTTTTTAACGTTTAATTATTTTTTGAGAGACAGAGACAGACATGAGCTGGGGAGGGGACAGAGAGAGGGGGGGAGTCACAGATTCCGAAGCAGGCTCCAGGCTCCGAGCTGT